TTTGATGAGGTCTGACTTCTGACTAAAGCCTTGTCCACCCTCTCTGAAGCTGACTTTCACTGTTCTTGAGCTTACTACCCCTTGTAATAACTTCCCTGTATCTTCAGCATTCACTTTCTGGCTTGGGTTGGGGTCTGTGTCCGTTGTTCTCCTAGCCTCCCTAGATCTCCCCATTTGTGCTTTGGGTACGTTAGAGGAGGCCTTTGACACCCCCCGCTCCCTTATCCTTTCATGCACAGGTTTGGACCCATTTTTTCTCTCTCCACCTTCTGTTCTGTCATTCCTGGTATGTTGTTCAGAATGCTGCTGCATATGGCCCCCTGGGTGGGGGTCTCCTGGTTGAAGGTCCTTTCCTGCAGTTGTTCCTAGAGAGGACTGAGAGGGGTGGTTGTACTTCATGTGTTGGTTGAGAAATGTCTGACTGGAGAAGGCCAAAGGGCAGGAGGGGCATGGATGGATCTCTGGTTTTGGTTTTCCTGGAAGAGAAAGTTTTCCATCAGACTCACTGTAGACAGCTGCCTGGAAAGACTGCCCCTTCATATCTCAGGGTCTGGGTCCTCCTTTTCACTCCAATCTGATCTTTTTGCCTGGTCTTGGCACAACAGACTCCATTTTGAATCCGGTGCCTTCTTGGTTCTCAGAACTCACATCTCATGGACCTCCCTCACATCGGCCTCCCCTCCCCTCGCTGAAAATCACCAGTTCTGAGAACCAGACATCCCCGAGAAAGAATGTTCTTTGAAGATATGTTTACTCCACCCGCCCCGTACCTATAAGATTAACGTTCCTTGAAGATGTGTTTATTCCACCTGTCCCAGACCTATAGATAAGATTAATGAGCGCTTCCCTTTGAAGCCCCTGTGTGCAGCTGTGCCTGCCACCAGGGGATATAAAAACGCAGCCAGAAATTCCCCTTGCGCGGTTTTGCCAGCTCAATACCTGAGTTGCTGAACCCACCTGCAAGCTTCTCAATAAAGCCTGCTTCTAAAACTTTACCAATTGGATCTTTAATTCAGTTTCGCGCCCCAAAAACTCTTACACCTTTGTGTTTTCTTCAGCACATTGGAAGTCGCATCAAGGCCCTTCCCTATTTCCCAGCCAGACAGGCCCCCTTTCAAGTAGGAATTGAGGGTACACTCTCCATCTGGCCTATTTCACAGTCCACATGCTTATTCTAAGCCCTGTCTCTACTGAGATATTGTGTCAGCAGCCATTTCTCCTGAGAGATGCTGCTCACAGTGCCCTGAGTGGAACCTCCAGGAGTCCTTTCCTATGGAGTGGGCAGAGTTCACTGAATAAGGAGCCCTGGTCCAGAGTCTCCATATGGACAGCCAATGTGGAGCAGTGGTTATTGAGGGTGTGTGGGAAGATGTGCTTACGTGAGGACCACTCTGCTAGGCTCTCTCTCAGACAGTGGGAAAGACAGGGCTGACACAGGCCACTGATGAAGGGACACTAGGTCTTGCTGACTGTGTCTCTTAATCACAACCCAGCTGAAATACAAGGGGGCTTTAAAAAATCCATGGAAAATGGAATTACAAGATGTTGGCATATGTGCCCGAATGTCTTTAAGCCACCTCATGCAACAGGGAGGAGTCTTATTTCAAATGATACTTTGTTCAGACTTCTCCTGAATGTCACCTTCACTTACCGTCCTCTAATATGACACTGAGGCAGCCCGTTCTTTAGTCCAACGATTAACCACAGTGCCACCTTAGCACAGTGAACATTTCATCCCTCAGCTGAAAACACCCAGTGGCTTCCAAAACTCTCAGGAAAGATGTCAGCATTACAGAATGGATGCCCCCTGGCCTCACTTTACCCCATTCCTCTGACACCCCTCTCTGTTCCTCTGTATCTCTGAACCTTCTCTGACAACCCTCTGTGCACCTCTTTACCTCTGACTTCAACTCTGACCCTCCTTCTCTGTTCTTCTGTATCTCTCTGAAGACAACTCTGTTTTCCCCTATACTCCTTTGTAACTCTAACATCAATTCTGACCCCCCTTCCCTGCTTCTCTGTACCTCTCTGACCCCAAGTCTGACCCACTTCTCTGTGGGATTATGAAGAGACTTTTCCCCAGCTTTATCTCCCCCAAAGACATGCCAAACATTAGAAGCTATTTGGCAGCATATGGTGGGAGGTCGGATGCTTAAAGACATCCTTCCTGAAGGCAGTCAGTTGCCAGACTACTGTCTGGGCCCACCACAAGAAGGGCCCACTCCCTGCTGTTAAGGACAATGGGCTACTTCTCCCTAAAGACTTGTGACCATCAGTTTGGTCCCTGTAGGTGGGGTTTTACACCCTACTGATAATGGTTTCTATGGAGATCCAGAGAAACAGGTCAAACCTCCTCAGTGATATCCAAAGTTAGGCTGCCATCCTGAATGTGGGATCTGCCCTTCTTGTCACATGTGTGCCCCCAATTCCTCCCCTTCCTATTGAGTGTATATCCCTAGACTGTCCCCCTCTCATTGCTGTATTACCTGTTGTACAACCCCTTCCTTTGACATATGTCTTTACCTGTAATTAGGTGACTTGATGCCCCCCAAAGGTATATAAGCCTGAGTTAGCCCGCTCCCCTGTCCTCCCTCCCCAGTTCCCTTTCCCCTTGTCCTCCTCCCCCTCCCCCTCTCTACTCCTCTGTACCTGTGACTTCGACTTTGACCCTTCTCTGCTCCTCTGTATCTCTCTGATTCCAACTCTAACCCCCCTTCTCTGCTCCTCTGTATCTCTCTGATCCCAACACTCAGCCCCCTTCTCTGCTCCTCTGTACCACTGACTTCAAGTCTGACCCCTCTCCACCCTCTGTTCCTCTGTATCTCAGACTTCAACTCTGACACCACCACCCCCTGCTCCTCTGAAACTCTCACTTCGACTTTGACCACCACCATCCCCAGCTCCTCTGTATCTCTCTGATCTTTCTTCTACCCCTCTTTCTGCTCCGTTCACTCACATCTCCCTCGGGGCTCTCTCTTTCTTCAAACACCCTGACCCTTTCCTGCTTGGGTAACTGTGCAGGTGGCTCCTCTACTTCCATGTTTTTGCCACCGGTATATGCAGTTCGAAGTCCTTCTTCCCCTGAGGATTCTGAGAGATGCCTTCCGAACCCCTTTCTCACTCACCCTCCCCTCATACTCTACTCCCCTACCCACGCAAATGCGACTCTGCACAGCACTGCTCACTGTTTTGTGTGACAAATTTGTATTTAAAGTTCCTGGGAACCCAGCAAGGGAGCTTTGTGCTGCTGTGGGTTAAACACTGAGCCACTAACTGCAAAGTCAGCGGTTCAAACCCATCAGTCAATCCACAGAGGAAAAGATGAGACTGTTTGCTCCTGTAAAGACTGACAATCTTGGAAACGCTAAATGGGGTTGTTATGATGTGGATTCATCTTGAGGGCAGTGAGTTTGGTTTGGCTGCCTTGGGGACCCTGTGTAGTAAGCACAGGAACTCACACAACAATTCATTGAAACAACGGACTGAATGATAGCATAGGAAGAATCATTTTCAGAAATGTGGGGTGACAAGATAAACTCAAAGGGCCACAAAAACTGCCTTAGTAGGAGCTGGATGTGCCTGAGGATGTGTTTGGCATTTAGCATTGTTTTTGTGCTGAAACATTAAGAAATAAAATCAGAACAAAAATTTTTAAAGTTATTAAAACCATTCTAAAATAAAAGTCGTATGTATCTTTCATTTATGAAATTCATACTTTAAATTTCATTGACTTCATGTGGATTCTACTCTACTTAGGTCTTGGGCCATGAAGATTTAGAAGGAGCAGAACCCCTGGTACACACCTGTCCCTGAAGTGAGCTCCTTCTTCCACTTGCTGCCCCACTTGATGCCCAGCTCCAGGCCGTACTCATCCCCATACCAGACCAGCAGTTCACAGCCAGGTTGGATGGCGCGGCAAGTTCGGTAGAAGATCTGCCTACGGTACTGAAAGGCCACCAGGTTCTGCTCCTCTTCGTCCCGGGCACAGTTCACATACCTGAGGTGATAGGACAGGAGGGGATCATGGGCAATGAGTACCCAGCATAGTCAGGTCCTGTCCTCTTTCCTCCTGAAGTTCAGGCCCAGATACTGCCCACTCCCCTCACTGCTCCTCACTGTAACCTTATGTTCTCCTATAAGCCTCATGTGCAAGGTCACATGAATTCCTCTCCCCAAGCCCAGCTTATGGGCTTATGGTGGCCGCCTTCCCGAGGGTGGCCCTCCCCGCAGTATCAAGCATGTTCTAAAGTTGAATCCCAGATTCACCTTCACCTTCTCTGGCCTTACACGAGTGTCAGCATCTCTGCTCTGAAATAACTACATCATCATCCAACACTCAACGTAAGTCCATATTTTTCTGAGAGGACTTTCTAAGTACAGTGCATTGCACGCCCCATCAGGCCCCTCCAGAAACATGAAGGGCTATTCCTATTAGTTTGTTCTTATTTGTACCCCAATAAAATCAGGTTCCACAGGGAGAGCGGCTGGTCATGACTTGATACTGATGAATAGCCTGCAGCCCACCCCTCACAGGCTGCTGAGCACCCTTTAGTCTCACTGGCCTGGGGATATTTATGACTGTCTAGGTTAAGCATCTCTTGTTTTAGGCAAGCTTGGTACCATGTAGTTTTTGGACAATGTGAAAAATTTACATAAAGAAAATTTAAAAACTGTTTAATGTCTGCCTCCTACAAGTCCATAGTCTCCATAAGAACATGAGCTGTGGAGCTTGGCCTAGAACAGTGGTATTAGAGCCCAGGTACTCCAAAACCAAATTCACTGACATCCATTTGATGCCAACTCATAGTGACCCTATAGGACAGAGTAGAACTGACCTGTGGGTTTCTGATACTGTAACTCCTTACTGGAATAGAAAGCCTCATCTTTCTCCTATGGAGTGGTTGGTAGTTTTGAACTGCTGACCTTGGGGTGAACAGTCTAGTACATAACCCATTATACTACCAGCACTCAGAGCCCAAGTAAACACATGTTGGCTAGATATAGGAAATGTGAGTCCATGCTTGCCAGATGAGCATCAAAAGTATCTAGCACAGATGATTTGCATAGAGGACATATGTTTTTAATCTCCTTATTTCTATCAAAACACAAAAGAGGGTTGTTTGGAGAATAAGTGACAGAGGGTGTACAATCCACGGATGGAGGCAAGCTCATTTATTCCCTGAAGCCAAACACTCTCAGGCCTTACCTCATCCAGTTTGCCCAAGACGTGTCCTTTCCATCCACGTATTCATAGCAGTTCCTCCCCTTGGTGATCTGAGATTTAGAAAAAGAAGTTAAGACATTTTTATTAATAAAGAGAGGAATTGTTTTATTTTCAATGCTTGTCTGTCACTTTGCTACCACACCACAAGTCCTTTATCGGCATCTGCATTCCAGTCTGTGTTAATTGTCAGTCAGAGGAGAGCAAGGGGTCCTCTTGTTTCTGACCATTCTGCCCCCATTTCCCTCTGCTAGTCAACAGGAGTTCCAAGGCCATGCAGAAACTACACACTGAACAAAGCCAGCTTATTACCCTCAAGGTGTCCTAGCGTGTCCTAAGCAAGGCCCAAAGGGAGGTGGGGCAAGGGGACAAAGACAAAGACAAGGCATAGAGTGGGTGCTTCTCACCAGCCAGGAGTAGCCACTGTTGGCTGCCTCCTCATCTTCTGTCATCTGGCCCTCATAGGGGCCAAAGTGCAGGCCCAGTGGCAGCTCAGACTCTTCATTCCAGACTCCAAGCCCAGCCTCAGGGATACTGGATGGTCCAATTCTCAGTCCAGGGGGCAGGGTGAGGGCTGAGTGATTAGGGCACCCCTTGTCCATGGGACTATCCTTTACAAACGTCGGGGCCCCATGAACTGTACAGGTGTCAATGAAGAAGTTCTGACACTTCTCACAATCTGGAGGAGAGAGCAATATGGATGAGGATGGGTATAAGCATAGAACCTATACAATAGGGATTAGGATGGGTACTGGGTACAACCTATTCCTGGGCATTGAGAGCTGGAGAAGAAAGAGCCCAGAGCTCAATCCTGAACTCCAAGCCACTAGAGAAGGGAACCATATTGGAACCAGGACCTAAGCCTTCTACTGGGGGTAGGGGGACCACTTACAAAGGTAGTCATCATCCTGGGGCTCGCCCAGTTCCTGGTATGCGTGGTCCTTTCTCTCACGCAAGCTGTACATCTTCACCTCAACCTCCTTTCTCCTGGGCTCTGAGGTGAGAAGACAGGTGGGTGTGGTGTTCAGTGTGAGCCTTGTCTTGTCAGAAAATGTTCGTTCTCCTCTCATCAAGTCACTACTGTCCTTCTCCAGACTACTCAGAGACCAAAATTCCACACCTTGATGAGAGAGGCTCCCTGCAACCTTAGCTTCTAGCTTCTCATTTTCAGGCGTCACTTGTCAACCTTCCTGCTTAAAAATGTTTCTCACACATTTGTGCATTCTGAAAATATTTGCTGAGGCATATTATGTGTGAGGCATTGAGTGAAAGCTAAAACATCGAAGAGGAGTAGAAAGGTTTGGGCTCTAATACCACAGATGGATTTACAGGTCACCTGGCATATGTCAGCTCCTTTGTATTTAATTTAATGGCTTCCAATAATGTTTAGGCTCTGAATCTTTATCTATTTTACAGTCTAGGAATCTAGACCACAGAGAATTTTGAAGATTTGCTTACGCTCAGATCTTCTGTGTAAATTATAAGCCATGTCTGTAGCTTTCTTTTTATTACACTCACTACTGCATCCGATTTCTGGTCCCCAGTGTAAACCCAGGTTCATAGCCCACAGGCATTTTTGGAAGCGCGAGTCCCAGATGATTCCCTCTTACCCAGTTTCTGTCTTGAGTGCTGAACAGGGACACTTCCTCTTTCAGGAGGTGACGAGAACTGCTGGGATGACTGCTCTGAGTTACATGCACTCAGTGAATTTGTTGTGGCTGGCAGTTCTTTCGAACTAGATTCATTATCTTGTGGTGCCCTGTGCATTCCCTTTAAAGTCAGAATCATATATTAGAGGACAACAAGCATTTCTTTAGTTTTAGGATGGGCCATTTCCACATATGAGGTGGCTTCAAAATGTTTGTGGAAATATTTCCTTTTTCTTCTTTTTTTTAATCGTTAAAAAAAATAATTTTATTAGGGCTCATACAACTCTTATCACAATCCATACATACATCGATTGTGTAAAGCACATTTGTACCTTTGTTTCCCTCATCATTATGAAAACATTTGCTCTCCACTTAAGCCCTTGGCATCAGTTCATTTTTCCCTTCCCTCCCTGCTCCCCCTTCCCTCATGAACTCTTGATAATTTATAAAGTATTATTGTTTTGTCATATCTTACACTATCCGACATCTCCCTTCACCCACTTTTCTGTTGTCCATCCCCCAGGGAGGAGGTTATATGTAGATCCCGGTAATCGGTTCCCTTTTTCCACCCCACCTTCCCTCCACGAATTCCAATTTTTTACCAAACATTTTGAAGCCCCTTAGTAACTTGTGGGGGGAGGTCAGATGCACATGCATTTCCCCCCTGAGGGCAATCAGTTGCTAAACTGCAGTGGGCCCTGCTCCCTGCCTCTGGGGACAATGGACAGGCTCCTGTAGGAGGAGTTTTCACCCTACTGATAATGGTTCCTATTGAGAGCGGGTGACCACCCGCTCATTGCTGTGTAACCTATAGTGCAGCCCCTCCCTGTGACGTATGTCTCTACCTGTAATTAGTGGGCTGGCATGCCCCCAAAAGGTATATAGGCGTGGGTCAGCAATAGAGAGCTCTCTGACTCTCTGACCTCTCTCTCTGGCTCCTCTCTCTTCCCCTTCTCCTCTCTCCCTTGTTCCCTTGCCCTCCTTCCCTTCCCCCTCTCTCTACGTGGACCACCAAGCTGGGCTGAGGTGAGCAATGCTACCATGTAATATGTCTAACTGCACTATTGTATCTCTCATGCTCTCGATGACTTTAATATAATACTTATATATCTCAACCGTACAATTGTGCATTACTGAACCTGTGGGTAGTAGTAGTAGTAGTAGCAGCAGCGGGTGGGGGCTGGCCCCTCACTCCCCACCCTTCCAAATTTAATTTAATACTACAGTACCTGACCTTCACTCGAGCTCCAACAACCCAAGGCACCTGGCAACTCAAGAGTAGAGGAAGGGCCCAGTGGATAGTGAATCCTTGATCAGAACCCATTTCCTCAGGCTCTTTCAACTTTTGCTTAAATGTCTGTGTGTTTGATTGAAGGTGGGAGAAAGCGTGGGGAGACTAGCTAAGAAACAACATGGTCTGTGAGAGGTGTGGGTTTTATAAACACGTGTAAATGTTCATGAAAAAGTAAGCATTTTGGAGTAGACTTTACTCCCCTGATAGTGTGATCTCAGGTGTGTACCTGAACATGTCCGCACCTCAGTTTCCTCGTCTGTAAAATGATGATTGCTAAAATACATGCCTTGTAGGCTTGTTGGACCAGGACCCCTGGTGGTATAATGATTACATGTTAGGCTGCTAACCACAAACTCAGCAGATCAAAAGCACCAGCCACTCTGAGGGAGGTAAATGAGGCTTTCTACTCCGCCCAAAAGTTAGTCTTGGAAATCCACAGGGTCAGTCCTACCCTGTCTTATAGGGTCACTAAAGGCTGGAATTGACTTGACAGTAGTGATTTTGAAGTTTGTTCGAACCAAGGGTGGTTTGAAAATTATTTCCCATTTAGTTGAGAAGCAACAAAGCCCACATGGAAGAAGCACACCAGCCTGTGTGATCATGAGGTGTCCATAGGATCAGATATCAGGCATCAAAGACCCAAAACAAAAAAATCATATCATTGTGAATGAGGGGAAGTGCGGAGTGGGGACCCAAAGCCCATCTGTAGGCAACTGGACATCCCCTTATGGAAGGATTTCGGGGAGGAGATGAGCCAGTCAGGGAGCAGTATAGCACTGATGAAACATACAACTTTCCTCTAGTTCTCCCCCCCCCCCCAGTTTTTTAATGCTTCCTCCTCCCCACTATCCTGATCTCAATTCTACCTTACAAATTCGGCTATATCAGAGATTGTACACTGGTACAGATAAGAGCTGGAAAAACAGAGAATCTAGGATAGATAACCACCCCCTCAGGATCAATAATGAGAGTAGTGATACCAGGAGGGTAAGGGAAAGGTGAGGGGAGAAAGGGGGAACCAATCACAATGATCTACATATAACCCCCTCCCTGGGGGACGGACAACAGAAAAGTGGGTGAAGGGAGACATCGGTTAGTGTAATATGTATAAATTATCAAGGGTTCATGAGGGAAGGAAGGGTGGGGGAGGGAAGGGAAAAATGGGAAGCTGATACCAAGGGCTCAAGTAGAAAGAAAATGTTTTGAAAATGATGGCAACAAATCTACAAATGTGCTTGACACAATGGATGGATGAATGGAGTAATAAGAGTTATATGAGACCCCAATAAATTGATTTTTTGAAAAAAGAAAATTATTTTCACAGTATCATTCCTTCAAGCCTATGCTTAAAAATTTGGAGTCCCTGTATGATTGTCACTATGACTAGATTCAGAGGTGATTTTCTATTAGGTGTCTCTGGGACACAAGCAATGAAGCTGTCACATTCTATTGAAAAGGTTGGGGGTTAGAGTTCATCCAGAGGTTCTTGGAAGAAAGGCCTGGTGATCTACTTCTGAAACATCTCAGCCATTGAAAACCTTAAGGAGCAAGGTCTACTCTTGACTCACAGGTTTTCATGCAGTGGCAGACACTATAGCAACTTATTTTTTATTTTTTTTGGCTTTGACCTTTCACACACTCTCTCATTCCCTTCTTTAATTTTGCGTGCAAAACACACAAAGGAAAACATGCAAAACACAGTTGTACAGTCTATCTTGTCAGGAGGGGTTTATGTTTTAATGGGATGTCTACTAAATATGTTCCTTTGAATGCTACAAAATATTATAGATGACAAAATTTCCTCTGTGCTTCATTCTATGTTCTTAAGTTATTTTTCAAAGTGAGTTTATTCAATGAAGTCTAGGACACAGTGGAAATAAAGCTAGCGTGTTACTGACCCTGTTGTCCTATGAAGGTGGTGATGTTTGCCAGACTATATGTGAGCCTGGTCCAGAAAGGGGCCAGCAGGCCTGGGCTCTGTCCCTCCCCTGCTCTTACCTGCATGTGGCTCCACAAGGAAGGTGTTCTTGTCTACAGCACTCGAAGATACTCACCTTCTGCTGCTTATTCTGCTCTCCTCTGGAGGCCACCCAAGGAGGTCTGACTGAAAGGTAATAAGAAATCAGAACTTACTCCACTTGGTGAGTGTTTACAAACTCTGAAGATGCTACCATCTCCAGGGACAGGAATTACCAAGAGAGAAGAGAGACGGAGAATTATGCAAAGGTGATTTGAAAATGATTTTTGCAGTATCATTAATTAATGGTTAGCTGGTTTTAAAAGCATGTTTCCAAAAAAAAGAAAGAAAAAAAACCATGTTTTAAACCTAGCTCATCTTATGCACATAAAGTATCCCTCACATCTATTTTAGGGTCCTGGTGGTATAGTGGGTTACACATTGGGCTGCTAACCACAAGTTCAGCAGTTAGAAACCACCAGCTGCTCCCAGGGAGAAACATGAGGCTTTCTCTTTCTGTAAAGAGTTACAGTCTCAGAAACCCACAAGGACAGGTCTGCTGTGTCCTATAGTGTTGCTGTGAGTGGAAATCAATGACTATTCGATGGCCATAATAGTATGTCTGTTAAAAAAAAAAGTATCTGGGTTGGGGATTTATCTGAGTCCAGATGGAGATGTGTGATAAACTATCAGGGGTATGTTTATTTAAGAAGACTGTCTTTTTATGTTAAAACTGGACAAGCAAGCATTGGATTTCATCTCTCGGACTAAATTTCCTGAGACTGAAATACCTAAAATCCATAGATGGGAATCACAGACCTTGCACTCTAGGTTCTCCTTCACACTTAGGAGCTGACTGTTTCATAAACTTCCCTGTCCATACAGCAGAAAAGGAGGTGGGTATCTTACTTCTTTTTTTATAAAGGTACTTACCAGATTTGTTCTCTGCTCAGAGCATGTGAGAATGCTCAGGGAGTTTAAACAGCTCTCTCAAACCCAAGATCAAGACCGCGTTCCCCCCCCCCCCACACACACACAAAAGTTTTATTTGGGCTAAGTGGCTCATTGGTGTGATTAACTATCATACATAAATTAGGTACTTTTAAATACTCATATGAGTTAATAATTTTCTCATGCAAAACATGTATTGTAGTGACTATGAACCACTTGAAATCATTAGGAAGTGGTTTTACAGTTAAAGCAAGTGCCCTTTGATAGATGATCAATGTTTAGTAAAACAAGATAAGTTTTAGGCATCAAGAAAAGTATGGAGTCCCCCCTCCCCCGAGAAGAATGCACTTCAGAGGACAGCACTGAAGATACAGCTCAGGGAGAGGGGCGTGTCTAATCAGAGCAAAGGAAGAAGAAGGAAGGAGAGAGAATGGAGCACATCCTGGCCCACCAAGTCTCCAGGAGGATATTCCTGCTCAGAGCAGCCAATGCAGAGAGAGGATTACAGCGATGGCCCCACCATGAGACAAGGACATCCCTCACTGACCCATACCGCTTTGGGGGATAACACTGGAGGCACAGTGCGGGAATTGTGCTGACTCCACCACTCTGGGGTGAAATGTCAAGGGCGTCCAACAGAGCAGCAAGGGGAGTCAAGCAATGAAGTCCCCGGGGAATACCAAAAATAGACTTTGGGGCCAGGGCATGGCACCCCATCAGACTCAACTGGAAAACACTCCTAAACATCAACAAACAGACCTGGAACTATTTATAGGCTTTTTGTTGTTGTTTGGTCCTCATTTGTTGTTATTTTGTTTTCCTTTGTTGTCTTGTTTTGCTCTGTCTTGTTTTTGTGCTTATTATTGTCTCTGCATGTCTATCTAGATAAGATAGGGGTGATAAACAATCCAGAGGAGAAAACAACAGGACCTATGGTTCCCGGGGACATGGGAGAGAGGGAGGCAGGGGAAAGAAGTGGGTGTTAACAAACCCAGGAACAAGGGACAAGTGATCTAAAATCTATGGTGAGGAGGGCGTAGGATGTCTGGTAGGGCTCGATTAAGGGCAATGTAACCGAGAGGAATTACGGAAACCTGAATGAAGGCCAAACATGATAGTAGGACAAGAGGAAAGTAAAAGGAAATAGAGGAAAGATCTAGGAGGCAAAGGGCATTTACAGAGGTCTATATACAGGTATGGACATAGGTAAATATATTTATATATAATGACAGGGACAGGCCTGGATTTTTGTAAATATATTTTTATATAATGATAGGGAAATAGATCTATGTCCATATATTTATAAGTTTAGTAGTAAGGTAGCAGATGGACATTGGGCCTCTACTCAAGTACTCCCTCAAGGCAAGAACGCTTTGTTCTATTAAATTGACATTCTGTGATGCTCATCTTCCGAACACTATAGCTGAAGACAAAGTGGGTGCATAAGCAAATGTGGTGAAGAAAGCTGATGGTGCCCGGCTATCAAAAGATATAGATAGCATCTGGGGTCTTAAAGGCTTGAAGATAAACAAGCGGCCACCTAGCTCAGAAGAACAAAACCCACATGGAAGAAGCACACCAGCCTGTGCGATCATGAGGTATCAATGGGATGAGGTATCAGTAATCAGGCATCAAAGGACAAAAAATCATATCATTGTGAATGAGGGGAAGTGCGGAATGGGGACCCAGGACCCATCTGTAGACAACTGGACATCCCCTTATGGAAGCATCACAGGGAGGAGGTGAACCAGTCAGGGTGCAGGGTAGCAGCGATGAAACATACAACTTTCCTCTACTTCTTAAATGCTTCCTCCCGCCCTCCCCCATCACGACACCAATTCTACCTCACAAATCCTGCTAGACCAGAGCATGTACACGGGTACAGATAAGAGCTGGAAACTCAGGGAATCCAGGACAGATGAACCCCTCAGGACCGATATTGAGAGTAGTGATACCAGGAGGGTAAAGGGAAGATGGGGAGAAAGGGGGAACCAATCACAATGATCTACCTATAACCCCTCCCAAGGGGGATGGACAATAGAAAAGTGGGTGAAGGGAGACATTGGTCAGTGTTAGACATGAATAAATAGTAATTATTTATAAATCATCAATGGTTCCTGAGGGAGGGGAAAAATGAGGAACTGATACCAAGGGCTCAAGTAGAAAGAAAATGTTTTGAGAGTGATGATGGCAACAAATGTACAAATGTGCTCGACACAATGGATGGATGGATTGTGATGAGTTGTACGAGCCCCAATAAATAATTAAAAAAGAAAAGTATGGAGTATTAAACTGTAAAAATGTATATACTCTGTCGTTTATTGAAACCTCAACGTTTTGCTATGAATTTCTAAATTCTATTTCAAAATTAAAGCAAAACAAACCCAAACTCAAACAAAAAACAACCCAAAACTAACCAACTTTCTCTTCCTCTAGCAGTGACAACTCTTTTGAATTATATTTTCTACCCACGTTCATATTTTTATCCATTTATGAATGTAGCTACAAATAACATGTCCTATACTTTGCACATGCTAAGACTTCCGATGAACGGAAGGTAACCTTTACGTCTTTACAGGAACAAACACTCCTGTTAGCCCGAGCTGAGCCCTGGGACTCCTGCTGGCCTCACCGCGCCGCTGCCGAGGGGTCCATTCCTCATCGGAATCCTCACTGTCCTCCACCTGCCCTTTGGCGGCTGGCCTGTGGTGACACATGAAAGCTGGGCGCGGGGCTCTGAGGCCTGCAAAAAAGCACCATCTTGGTCCTCAGAGGGAACAGCGGGGAGGAAGAAGTGGATGGGCTGAGGGAACCCAGCATGGGCAACAGGCGGGATCACAGGAGGGCAGGGTTGAGGCTCCGTGGGTGGGACCCCGGCTCTGTGCACCCCGCCGCTACCTAGAGCGAGCAGCGCCTCGTAGTTCTTCTTCACATTCCTGTAGCGGAACTTCTCCCACTCGCCCATCTCCGCCCACTCTTCCTTGGAGAAGTATATGGCGATGTCTCGGAAGGAGTCCTTGGCCTAGAGAAATGACAATGTCACGGTGGCGCACCAGTACGCTGCCCACCTCCGGCGCCTGGCCTGACCCTCCATCTGGGTAAGGAGCAGCTGGGCGGCGGAGTCCCGCCCTCCCTCCCAGGTGCCTCCCAGTGGCTTCTGCTCAGCGTCCCTGCCCCCAGTCAATTCCCACTCCCAGCGACACTATGGGGCGGGGTAGAGACAGGGTAGAACTGCCCCCGTGGGCTTCCACAGTGACAAGACGCCGGAATTCCTTTTCAGGAGTAGCAAGCCTCATCTTTCTCGCAGGGAGGGACTGGTGGCTTGCAACCGCGGGCCCAGTGTGTAACCACCACGCCACCGGGCCACCTTCCAAGACTCCCCACACGGAGGTGCTCCGAGGTCCTCCTCCGCTACCCTCCTCCCCAGGACCACGCCCGCCACGCCCCCTCCCTCACCTTCTGCCCCTTATTGCCCACGGCTCCCTCAAGGCTCTCCTCCCCAGCCATGGTGCTGCACCCCGTTATCACAGCCCCAGGGCACGGCGCCTGTGGAAAGAGAAGGCTCCAGAAGAAGCCACGACGCCAGGCCACCTGGCGAGGCGGGGCAGGAGGACTGCGGGTGCCCCACAGCAGGGCCTGGCCGCTCATGGGTCCCTGGGGATGGGATAGCGCTGCTACCTTGGGGTCCGACTGTTCCAGCGAGAGGAAAAAGGACGTTTCTTAGAGAAGGGTCTGGGTGGGGGTGGGTCCACTTGGGAATGTGGAAGGTCAAGCCTGAAGGGATGCGGGGTCTCTCAGTGCCTGGGGCTTGGGGGGACGGTCGCTCAGGGCTGTGGTTCTGGCAGAACGAGGTGCTGAGAGAGCTTTCAGGCTGAGGGGACTCGGGAGTCTCTCAGGCTGAGGGGACTTGGGGCGGTCTCAGGCTAAGGGGACTCTGGGGTCTCTCAAGCTGAGGGGACTTGGGGGGGATCTCTCAGGCTGAGGGATTTGGGGGTCCTCTCAGGCTGAGGGGATTTGGGGCGCTCTCTCAGGCTGAGGGGATTGGGGGCGTCTCTCAGGTTGAGGGGACTCCTCGGAGGGGTCTTTCAGCCTGAGGGGACTTGGGGGGACTCGGGGGTTTCTCAGGCTGAGGGATTTGGGGGTCTTTCAGGCTGAGGGGACTTGGGGCGGTCTCTCAGGCTGAGGAATTTGGGGGTCCTCTCAGGCTGAGGGGATTTAGGGCGGTCTCAGTCTGACGGGACTTGGGGGGGTCTCTCAGGCTGAGGGGTTTGGGGTCCTCTCATGCTGAGGGGATTTAGGGCGGTCTCTCAGGCTGAGGGGACTTGGAGGGATCTATCAGGCTAAAGGGGTTTGGGGCCTCCGAGATCAAGGATTCGGGGTCATCAGTTTGTTTTGGGGGGTCCTCTGAGGATGAGGGAGCTCTGGTGGTTGAAGGGCCAGGTCTGCGGTTCGACCCCCAGAGCCGCTGCGCGGGAGCCAGAAGGGGCTCTGGGCTGGCGGCGGCGCCAAGCTCGGGAGGGGGCGGGGGGCGGGGGCGCAGAGTGGAATGGCTCTGAGGAGGAGGGTCCTCGTGGGCTCTGAAGCTGAGGAGAAGGGGGTGTTCTGGGAGAAGAGCACTGGGGGTCTTTCTGACTGACGAGAATTGGGGGCGCTTAGGCTGAGGGGGTGTGGGATCCACCAGGATGAGGGGGTTGGAGGATACCTCAGACTCAGAAGGGCAAGTCTCGTAGGCTGAGCGACTTGGGGTCTCCCTGAAAGGACGTAGGGCTTCTAACCATGAGGTGATTTGCGCTCTCTGGGGCTGAGGGGGTTAAGGGTTCCCAGGCCGACGGAGATGGAGGATCTCCAGAGCTGGGCTGATTTCGGGGTGTCTGTGGAATTTCACAGACCAGGGAATTGGGGCTCTTCAAGTTTAGAGCCCGCGTCTGAGGGGAATTGGGATTTGGTTTTGACTTCTACCCCTCAGAGTACAGGTATTTGGGGTCTCGGGTGCTGAGGGGCCCCGTCAAGCAGGCGGGATTTGGAGTCTCTGGATGAGGTGCGAGGGGGTCTCCCAGCTGACATTTGAAGGTCTTGTGCTGACAATTTCTGAGGGTTTAAAAGGTTTTGAAGCACGGCAGAGCGCCCTGTATGCCGTCAGCAGGCCCCGGCCCTCCGGCTTTCCCGCGCGGCCCACCCCGCAGCGCCCCTCTGAGAACCTGCGCGATCCCGCTCCCAGGAAAGACAAAGCTAACAGCCTGCTGGGCGGCTGCTTTTAACGTGTTGTCGGGCGGGCAAAAGTCCACCAATCAGCTCGTGACCAGAGCATTCAGCCAATCAACAGTCAGGATAGAGCCAAAGGGGCAGGGTGTAGGGCGGAGCACATTTGTCAATCACGGGAAACGGCCCAATCAGGGACCCCCGGGCGTGGCACCTGATCGTCCTGTCCCCAAAGGTCCTGCCCCCCCATCTCCGCCCCATGATTGGCTGCTCTGTGTCCCGGCGCCTGGGGGCGGTCTGTGAGGAATGGTGAGGATGAATTCTCTCCTGGTTAAACTCAGGAGTTCAGACTTCTTCACACAGGGAGAAACTCTGAGGATATCTGGGAGTAGGGAAGCGGCTAGAACACACACTTTGAGGAGGAGCCCAAATTTGGCAATCTAATTAAAAATCGATGAAAAATAAGTGAATTGCTGCTGCTGCTGTCAGGTGCTATGGCATCGGTTCTGACACATCGTGAATTTATAAACACAAATGAACGAAACACTGCCTGATCCTGCACCATCCTCACAATTGTTCCTATGCTTGAGCCCATTGTTGCAGTCACTGTGCCAATCCATCTTCTTGAGGGCCTTCCTGCTTCTCTGCCCCTCTACTTTACCAAGCTTGATGTCCTTCTCCAGGGACTGGTCTCTCCTGACAATATGTCCACAGTCTGTAAGATGAAGTCTTGCCATCCTTGTCTCTAAGGAGCCCTCTGACCTTACTTCTTCCAACACAGTTAGGTTTGTCATTTTATTGGTCCATGGTACTTTCAACATTCTTCTGCACCACAACGCAAATGCATTGATTCTTCTTTATTATGATGAGGATTTTCTCTTCCATTCCTATTTTATTGAGTGTTTCTGTCAGGAATGTATGTAGAATTGTATCAAATGCCTTTTCTGCATCGATTGATAGAATCATATGGTCCTCCTTTATTTTGTTTGTGGTGGGTTATGCTGTTTTCTAATATTAACCATCTTGCATATTTGATGACTCCCTCCTATGATGTATTTTTTTGATGCTTTGTTCAGTTTTGTTGGCTAAGATTATGGTAAGAATATTGGTGTCTGCATGCATCAGAGCTATTTGGTCTGTAATTTTCAATTCTAGTGATGTCTTGGCCTGGTTTAGGTATCAAAGTTTTAGTTGCTTCATAAAATGAGTTTGACAGTATTTTGTCTATTGTGAAATAGTTTGCGTAGAATTGTTACTAACTTTTCTCTAAGTGTTTGATAGAATTCTCCAGTGAGACCATCTGGTCCCAGACTTTTTGATGTTGGGAGTTTTTTATGACTAGATGTATTTCGTGTTGTGTTATAGGCCTGTTGAGGTTTTCTACATCAATTTGTAGTAATTTAGGTAAACAATGCATTTCTAGAAATTTATCAATTTCTTCTAGCTCTTCACATACAATTAAAAAATAAGTTTTATTGGCACATAATTTACATCATACAAGTCAATATTTCAATTGTATCATGGAGAATTGTGCAATCTTTACCATATCAATTTTAGAACAAACCCATGGTTAAATCTCCTTTAAAATGATTTGTGCAATCAGTCATTTGTAATGGCCCCTTCCCTCTCCTGCCTTATTTATCCCTTTACCTTCTTACCATCCACCTACCACCACCCCTGCATTCCCTATCAACCCTTCTATCAGTTATCATCACTATGCATCCACTCCTCTATCACAAACTGGGAAACCCAACAAAAACAATAAAAAACAAAATTTACATAAGGTGGTAAGGATAAAATAATAATATAAAGATAAAAATAAAGAGTAAGAAAGAAAAGACCCCCATCAACATTCAAAAATTCAGGGAAGAATTTTCTGTCATGGAACAAATAAGAGATGCTTGCACCTAGAATCAATTCAGGAAGTCAACTGGCTTGGTATTGTTGATTCAGCATATTCAAGGTTGCAATGGTCTCTGCATGACAGTAAGGCTGTTGGAGATTCTTGCCTGAGGTTAGGGTGGATCTGCCAGCAGCTCAGTCTGAGATACTATGCAGACACTATGGGTTTTGGGCTCTCAGTCCTCTGTAGCCGTCTACAAATTGGGAGCTCATCATTTTAGCTCTGATACTTTCCCCTTCACCATATTCGAATTTTGTGATTGTCATCTTTGGAGCACACAAGCTGGTGAGCTTCCCCATGTGGACTTACTTGACTCGTTGATTAGATGGCTGCTTGTTTGAATGCAAGCCTCTAAGATCCCAGACACTATTCTGATAGCTGGGCACCATCTTCTTTCTTCACCACACTTTGCCTTGGTACCCGTATCTTTAGTGAAAGAGCCAAGTGCTGGGAGAACAATGTGATTTCCCACTGGCTTACCTCTGAGTGAGTCACTAGTTTAACGGGAAGATGGATGACATGACTCTGCCATCTCCAACGGTCTGAGGGACAGTGAACTGGTCCCCCGTTTAAAAAGTTTGAGGACCCCTGTCTCGGAGAGTCCTCCAGTTTTAAACGGTCAAATTATTCTGGTTTATACAGATTTTGAGTTCTGCTATATATTTTCCTCTACTACACAGAACCATCTATGGTGTCTGTATCAGGATGGCTGGTACTGTCAGCACGATCTAGTTCTTCTCATCGCTGAGTAGATGAGACTATTGCTTGTATAGACTAAGATTATCCCTACTGTCTGTAAGATTACTGAGTTGGAATTCACTAAATGGTAGAGTGTGACTGAGCTCCAGTCAACGAGAGCCACCGTTACAAGCAATGGCTGCTTGGGGTCGCACCCTGACCCTTCCTCACACTGCAGATCCTCAAGCAAGTAAGTAATGTAGCAGAAATGGAACCTTTTCATGAAATGAATACCTTTTCATGTAAGTGCTTCCTGTTTAACTAAACCTGTCTCACAAGGTAAAGAAACGAGCTGACTACATGCATGCTTTCGTTGAACCTCACAACTCTGACATAGCTATTACCCCCATTCTGTAGCTCACAAGTGGTGTGCATCGGGGCTGTACCCTTATACCACTTTCAAGCTGTATGCTGGGCAAGCCATCAGAGAAGTTGGATTATATGAAGAACATGCATCAGGAGTGGAGGAAAGCTTAAACCACCTTTGTTTGCTGGAAGTGAGGACCTGAAGCACTTCTTGATGGAGATCAAGGATTGAAGCCTTCAGCATGGATTGCAACTTAATGTAAAATCTAAAATCCCGACAACTGAACCACAAGATGTCATCATGACAGATGGAGAAAATATTGGATCTTTGGATCCGCAATCAATGCTCACGGAAGTGGCAGTCAAGAAACCAAAAGGCATATTGCACTCGGCAATCTGCTGGTAAAACCTCTGTATAGTGTTGATAAGCAAAGATGGCGGAGTACTATGGTTTGCCTGATCTAAGTCATGGTATTTTCAAATGCCTTATATCCGTGTGAAAGTTGGACACTACACAGGGAACTGCAGAAGTGTCAATGCATTTGGAATGTGGTGCTGGTGAATACTGAAAGCACCAGAGATTGCTTAGAAATACACGTCTTGGAAGAAATACAGCTTATAATGATGGTAAGACCCCTTCACACCTAACTTTGGACATTATGAGACCAGGTCCTGGAAAGGACACGGTGCTTGGTAGAGTAGAAGGGCGGTGAAGAGGAAGACACAACAAAATGGAATGACAGTGGTTCTAACAATGGACTCCAACATCACAATCCTGAGGATGGCATAGGACCGGGCAGCGCTTCATTCTCGTGGACGCAAGAGGCCCTGTTAGTCAGAACTGACTGGAGGCACCTGACAATAACCAGAACACAAAGACAACAGAAGGACTCGGAAACCCCACCCCCACTGAAAACTTAAAAAGAGATGGAAAAATCTCACCAGTTTCTAAATACTCTTCTAGATTTCAGCTCCCCACCCCTTCCCAGAGGTGCTCCTTTAAAGGAATTTTCTGAAAAATCGTTTGTTTTCTTTGAAACTCAGTGCCCGTTCCAGCTTCGGTCATCCGTGGCCATGTGGTCAGGGAGAGTGGCTGCCGCCTCCAGGTGCTCCTCCTCACAGCCCTGCCACACTGGCCTCGCTTCCCCTCCGTGAGGAAGGCTCTGCCACAGAACTCCCGGCACCAGGACTGTTAACACCTTGGATCCATCAGACTCTCAGACCACCAGAAGGTGCAGTGAGGATTTTGTGTACTGGGACACTGCCTCTGATTGGCCCAAGGACAAAGTCCCAGACTCAAAATGCGGCTGTTCCACGTTCACAATCAATAGTGTTCTTTATCTACTTTGAAATCAATCACACTTGCTTGTAAATATATCCTCTTACATTAAAGCGTCTGTTCTTCATTTATTTATTTTAACCAGAATACAAAAAGTCCACAGCTTTTTTGGTCACTACTTAAAAAAAAAAAAGGTTTCTTTAAGTTTCTCATAACTTTTCACTGTCTTTGGAAGAAATTCATCAATATTCCAAATGTGTTAAAGCAATAAAAATGTCCATTTTCCAAGGATATATTCACAGATTCAAATCCAAATTCTACATTTATCATCATTAGAATTACACAAGAGCATAAAAAGCTCCAGGAAAAAGAAGTATTTCATTACAAAAGTCTTATGATCAAGAAAATAGTGCTGGCCCTTAAATAAAGAATAAGGAAAAGTAGTAAATACAATAAATATTTAGAGATGCTTATTTTTTAACAAGTAAACAAAAAAGGACATGCACAAAGAATGAAACTAAAAGGAAGAAAACACGGAGCTTCAAAATGATGCCAGTGTAGTGCTTGCATAATTTTTTTAGAACATGGTTGTCTTAGATGTGCCTCTCTTAGGGTCTACTTTTAAAAATACTGAGTCTTGCCAGAGAAGGGCTTCTTCACCAAGTGGTATTCATGATGTGAAGAGCCCCGAGGGGGCGCAGTAGTGCTCTCTATTCCACTACCTGTGACCTCTTTCAAAGTCACATGCAAGTTTGTTTTCACATGTGAGCAAGAAAGCCTACAGATGACCAACAGATGCTAGTCAAGTATAACTCGTTTGAAAGTCTGGACATAAACGATGTTTCAATTCACACGGGACTCTTAAGATCCTCCGCGTAAAACAGAAAGTGTTTTGTGCCAATGTGACTTACACATTTCCTGGAATTATACTTTGAGGGTCTCCCCACTTCTTTTTAATTTTTTTCCTTTTTTTTTCCTGCACGTGTAAAATGTGTCTGATTCTGTTTCTCCAAATCCCTTCGTTTTTCTCTGCTCCTGGCTTTGAAGTGCCCACAGATCTCTCCCAGTGCCTCTCCTGCTTGCTTTTCATAACCCCAACTCCCTCTGGTCACCCCCTACTGTCTTCATGTCCTTCTTTCTGCACTCCATGGGGACCCCGATACACAAATAAGAGGGGCATTCAAAAGCTCGTGGAAAATTCCAATTTTCCCATGAACTTTTAAAAGCCACCTTATCCAATCACAGCGGACAGCAAAGAGTAACATTGAAGGTACACACATTCTACTTGGAGATTTTCAACAATGTCCTAGAAGATTTTTCACTGAAAAGAAGTTAGAGCATAAAGTCTTGGCCAAAGGTGTGTCAAAAATATCATCTGTTCAAATTATTGCCAAATGTTACAAAGATCTCAATAACCATGTTTAGGAATGCTAGCAGGGCTGGAAATGTACACAAGCACACCTTGCAGGAAAAGGCTGTAGAGCATTTTATCATCATTCCCACTGTAAAGGGCTGCACATGGCGTCAGTCAGTCTTTTGTCTTCACGCAAAGCAAAACCAAACCATGAAACTCCCTTTGTCCAGATGCCGGAGTCAGTCTAACTTGAACGTGAGAGGCTTGAACAACAGGAACCTCACTGCAGGGCCCAAGGGGAGCAAAGCAGCGCTCAATCACAAATCCTGGCCACCCGAGGGGATTGGTCTGGCAGGTACAACACTGGTGGGGACCCCACACTGCTGGAAGGGCTGCGGAAACTTGAGTCAAAAGAACTTGGTGTTATCCCAATCATAGGATCGTTCTGGGGTACTTCCCCTTTCAAAAAATCATCATCTTCATCTTCCACCATTTCCTGTAAGAAGAGAGATGATACAAGATGAAAAAATGGCCCTTTGAAGAACTGTTACAAGTTCCTTGCCTCAGGAAAATGCTGTTTTCTAAAAAGGTAAGTGACCAAAATTTTCAAATGCTTCCTTTGATAGGAGTCACTATCATGCACCTCCCACCCACCCCATCCTCTCAGCCTGCTGCTGGGCACTTATCTGGAGTGCTGAGATCTTAAGCTCAGTAACAGGATGCGTCTGCCATGCTCTGTGCGTGAAGGAAACAAGGCTCCTCCCCAAATGCAAATTACAAAGGAATATATGCCACGCCTTTCCAGCGATTACTTAGGAAAAAGGGGACAGGCACATTAAAGATGACTGTAAGGTGGACATCAATGTGCTTTGGAGGGACCACAGTAGCAGGCACCATGGCGGGCACTGCAGCCTTGCCCTGTCTTTACCACACTCACCAGTATCTGTAAAATTAATGTGAGCTCATGGTAGCATTTCAACAGCAGGGAAGTTTGAGATGGTTGGTTGGCGATAGCTAAGTGGTAAAACTCTTCATTGTACACTTGTGCATATTGCACATACTCTCAAAAACAGAAAGCAAAATATTAATAAAAACCACACTTACACAATTAAAAAATTTCCGTTGATAATGACTGAACCTTTGATTCAAAGTCTGGATGTGATAAGTGGTTTAAACACTGAAAAAACCAACAACACCTTTTCATAAAAAAATCGGGCTTGCACTTTTAAAAAGTAGACCAAGTCATACGCAGCTCTTCTTTTCTTCCCTGCATTTTGACTTAATTCAAGTTCCTATGATTTGGTAGCAATATATTTCTTTTAAAGAGCAGTGTCACTGTTTTCCATTTGACTAAGGTGGCCAGACAGCCCACTTTTGGCGGGACAGACCCGATTTTTAACAATTTGTCCCGCGTCCCGCGGCGTTTTTAAAAAGTCCTGATTTTTGGAAAGAATGCACGACAAGCTAGGGTATATGGTTTTCGGCTGCCATGTGGCTATTTCTCCAGGATATGAGTTTTATCAATGGTGTCCCGCTTTACCAATGTTAAAATCTGGTCACCTTACATTTGACTATGGTCTGGGACCACAGGGGAGATAATTAGAAAGTGGGTTGAATCCTAAGTTTACCTTTTTCATTGGTTTCTTAAACTCCTGAAGCTCTTCAGCACTCATATCTTCCCATAGCTGATAAATAGGATCAATGAATTTTTTTGACCTGTCAAAAAAATATTTCAAAATTAAGTTTAAGTACAGTGAAGCTCAAAACGTATTCTCTCATAGGAGAGACTTCTTGAAATTCAGGAAATAAAAACTCTGCCTAAGAATAATGTCAAAAACACGATGTGCAGATTCTGCAGCTGGTGTGGGCCATGTGTGTAAATCTACTCCTCATACTTTCATTTCCAAGTGACTCTGTTCTTGAACTTTGGAAGACACAACTGAGTTATAGTCTACTCCAGCGGAAAACGCATTAAAGAAAGATACCCTAGAGAGTACCTTTCCAGATGACGACAGGGGCCCTGGCGGCCCAGGTTATGCATTGACGCTGGACTGCCAGCTGCCAGGCCAGCAGTTAGGAAGCACAAGCCACTCTGTAAGCAACTCCTCTAATACATAGTTATGGCCTTGGAAGCCCACAGGGGCAGTTCTACCCTAACCTGTAAGATCGCTGTGAGCTGGAATGGACTCAATAGCAGTGGGCTAGCTGCCTGCCAGAGAGAAGTCCAGGAAAACCCATCTAGTCAGCCAAGACCTGGGAGCGCAGACAATCCCGAGTCAGAAATGTACAATAAGCAAAAACCTAGTTTCATTATAGAATACAAAGGACACTCGACTCTGGTTTATCCTGGGGGGCAGCGAGGAGGTGGTTTCTCGGGGAAGGAAGGAAGGAAGGAGCACTCGGCAGGAGCGTGTTCAGCTTGGAAAAGGCAGCGGCGCCCTTCCTTTGCATTTAACATTGTGCCCACACCCCTTCGATGCTACAACCAACTGGGTTGAAGAAAAGCACACACTTGAAAACACTCTTGGGGTTAAGCTGGGCTCTCGCAGAGAAAAAGATCAAGACCCATAAGCTGTGCCAGCCTGCGCCCAGGGTACTGTACCAGCCTTTCCTACTCAGGGCCACTGGCACATGAAGAGAGCACAGCCCCCACTGAACAGCTCAGAAAGAGCCATCTGTGATGAAGAAGCCCTGAACCCCGAACCTGGGAGAAGCAAATGTGTATTCCATTTAAACTCACCATGGCCAGCACCAAACGCTACGAGTACCTACCTCTTCAGAACACAGGGGTCGAAGGGGAAGAAGGTGTCGAGCGGGTTGGTGCAGGTTTGCACCGAGTCCCCTCCAGCTGTGTTTCGAATGACTGGGAGCATCTGGCGATTGTTCCTCTCAATGATGGTGTAGCAGAAGACCAGCTGGTACTTACTGTCGAACACAGAGTTAGTCACTCCACGTGGACAGGGTTGTTATGTGGGATTAGCTACACAGACATGGCTGATTCTAACAGGAAGCAGAAAGTAATGTGCAGTAGTTTTATGTCTACAATTCACAAATGTGAGGTGGAAAAAGGTAATGGGATTATTGTTGAGAAGCTCTCGGACAATTATCATTAAAAATGAAAATGTTTGTAGAGTACAAATCTACTTTACAGAATTACACATAGAACCTCCTCTTTCTCTCTGTTTGCTCCACTTGAGGAAGACAAGGCTGTCCACTCCCATAGAGATTCCCTGTCTTAGCAACCCCAGAGTTCTAGTCTGACCTTAAAGGTTGCTGTGAGCCACAATTGACTTGCTGGCAACAGGTTTTAGTCTTCTAATGTGTGAAAAAGAACTAGGGAGAGGGTGAAAAAGGGATTCAAGATTTAGTGAGAAGAAATAGTATTTGTGGATGGAAATGTGGCTAATGAAAAAGTCTTTACCAAGCTGATCGGGATTGAAGGCATCAGGAACTAAGAAATTGGTTTTTAAAAAAGAACAGAAGTGGTGTGAAGATGAAATGTGCTCCACATAAAATACTCAGAGCTGTGCGTGGCACTGTAAGAGCTAGGTGTAAGCGCTAGCGACACGGCCCGGGGCAATGGGTCTCACACGAAATGAGTCTCCTAATGTGGGACATTCCTCATGTCCAATTTATTTTAGGACGATGACAGGAGTCTGATTAATAAGCATTTGGGGGTTGTACCTCTCAGCCTACAAGCAGCCGCACTGATTTCAAAGTGCCTAGGCTTCTAATGAATTATCCCTTTGGATAAACAGTAGTAATTTCCAATGCCATCAGAGTATAGAAACAGTAGCTTCAGTACTTTCCTGCAAACACTGGTCATCTTCCTTTCAACGTGGTACTGTTGTGTGAATAACTTCACAGGAGTTTTATGGAATGTTAAAATGTCAGCATTGACACAACTGTCCTTTTAAACAATGAAGTGACATTTTTATTTTCTTTTAACATTTTCCTAATACTTTTCTTTTCTTTCTTTCTTCTTTCTTTTCTTTAATGCATTTTCTATCTATGTGGCTGTCATTCCCACCAAATGGCTGGGTCTAACAAACACACTACACACCAAGTCCAAGTCCATTCTGACCCACAGTGACCCTACAAGGACAGGGCAGAACTGTCCTGGTGAGTTTCCAAGACTGTCAATCTTTGAGGGTGTACAAAGCTACAGAGCGGCCGGTGGTAGGATTGGTCAGTTTTAGATGCCACTCCCCTGGCTTTAAGGGTGAGCAGAGAGAGAGAGAAATCCTGGGACCTATGAAAGAAGAGCTCCCAGCGCAGTGCATTCAAGATCTCTGTCTGAAGTGGTGGAGGCAGAGCGCAGAAGCACCAGAGGCCGAGGCAGAGAGACAAGAGAAGCAGTGCCAAGAAAGGAGACCGTGAGGCAGAGCAGCAGGCCGGCTTCCTGGCTCAGGAAGGCAGAGGTCCAGGGACCATCCAGCTGAGGGGCAAAGGATCAGAGATGAGTAGCTGGTAGCTAAAGAGAGGTGTTACTGTGCGGTAACTTGTCCACTCCCTGAGCTGAGTCTGTCTGGGAGTTCTGTGTAGCCAGTGCAATGATGAGCCACGCCAGCATAGGAGTGTGCCATGGGGAAGGGTGGGTGTCAGAAGTGGTCAGAGAATGATGGCTGGTAGAGACTTGTCTGCTCTCTGCCTCCAGGCAACAGGGAAGCCAGAGGGAAGAGAGGGCCTCAGGTCATTGTATTGCAAACAATTTCCAGGAGAACATAAATAACTTACCTCGTGATGGCAGCAAACAAGTTAACTACTGAGGGCAGGCAGATCTTCAGAGGATTTAGCTGACTCATGACTATGCGTTCAAAATTTAGACTTTGAAGGTACAGTAAACCTTTGATTAAGAAAAAGAAAAAAAATTAAAAGCACACATAAAATTTAAAAGGAGTCCTGGTGGTGCAGTGGGTAAGTGCTCAGCTGCCAACCAAATGGTTGGTCGTTCAAACCCACCCAGAAGATTCTTGGGAGCAAGACCTGGCCATATGGTCCTGCCAATGGTTAGTCTAAAAAGCCTGAGGGTAGTGGGTTTAGTTAGAACCAATCATTTGGTAGGAGTTACACAGTCAGGGATAGAAGAGCCTGCTAGGAAATTTTAAAGAGAAAGCAAACAACTGTACTTCAGGATTTAAAATCTCTAGCAACTGAAATGTACTCATTTTAACAACCGGCTTCATTGGGTAAATTTAAATACCGGCCCTTCAGATATTTAGAAAACGGAATGCTGGCCCGTGAATTCTTAGCTCCTCACGAACAGGGCATAACTGAGGTGACCGCACGCTTTCGATTCTGCCCCATCAGATTCAGGTTTGTGACTCCTCATGTGCACTTTACTGGATGGTGGCAAGGACAAGGAGAGGCTAACCGGAAGGCCGTGTGTGTGCTGGGGCTGACACGGAGCACACTTGGCATCACTCTTAAGGAAAAGCAGTCACATTTCTAAGATTTGACCCTCCCCAGCCTGGGGTGTGCTCAGCCTCAAGTCCACTGGCTGTTAAAGAGCAGGCCTAACGGGCGTTGCTAGTTGCTGTGCAGTCAGCCTGACTCATGGTGACACCAAACCTAAACTAAAGAAAAGCCACCGGTCCTGTGAATGAGACCACTGTCCCCAGTGGAGTTTCTAGCAGTCAGATTTTGGAAGCATGGCCAGATCCCTCTTCGTAGTAGTCGGCAGGCTCTACTGAAATGCATTCTGTGTCAGAGCAACACATCAGGCCCCACTGCCAGTCAGGGCACACAGTCCAGGAACTGAACCAGGGTCTCCCGCATAGAAGGAGAGAATTCTACCACCAAATGGGTAAAATTACGGGTACAAGTTTGTGTATGCATTTTTCTGGAAGCTACATTTTCACTAAAAACCCAACAATAAAAAAGTGACAATAGTAAGAGTAACAAACACAGTGAAATTCCAGAATGTTCCCTTTGATACAACCCACTCTACTGACCTTCTTTCAGATTTCCACTTAAAAGCTGCTTGTGTCTGAAGACAAAAGTATAGAACACGGCTTGACAGGCTGAGTAAAAGGGTCCGTGGAGGGCAACATCACAGAAAGCCTTTGTCCCCGAGTCCTGGTTATTCAGGTATATGTGCAGCCAGTTAACCAAGAGATCTAGGCATGATTTCACAGTACTAGAGAAAAGAAAAATGTAAGTTAGCTTTACTGGAGCCACTGAAAAACGAAAACAAACAAAACCTAGCATGATATAAAATGCACAAATGCTCAACGTTACAAACCATGGAAAGTTAGAGATTAAGTATCTTTTCCCCTCAAAAGTTTTACTGACACTTAATCCAATAAATCCAATATATCACACAATTCAATATTTCAGTCATATCAAAAGGGCTTTATACCCAGGGAATACCAAAACTAGACTGTGGGGCCAGGGTGTGGCACCCATCAGACTTGACCAGAAAACACTCGTAAAGGTCAACAAACAGACAGGGAACTATTTATAGGCTTTTCTGGTTTTTTGTCCTTGGTTTTTGTTGTTGTTTGGTTTTCTTTCCTTGCTTTGTTTTGTCTTGTCTTTGTGCTTATTGTCTCTGCATGTCTATCTGGATAAGATAGGGGGGATAAACAATTCGGAGGAGAAAACAACGGGACTGTTCCAGGGGGGACACAGAAGTGGAGGTGGGAGATAAGAAGAAGGGTGTCAACCAACCCAAGAACAAAGAGAAACAAGTGATCTAAAATCGATGGCAAGGAGGGTATAGGATGCCCGGTGGAGCTAAATCAAGGACAATGTAACCAAGAGGAATTACTGAAACCCGAATGAAGGCTGAATATGATAGTGGGACAAGAGGAAAGTAAAAGGAAATAGAGGAAAGAATAGGAGGCAAAGGGCATTTATAGAGGTCTAAATACAGGCACGTACATATGTAAAGTATTAAGGTAGCAGATGGACATTGGGCCTCTACTCAAGTACTCCCTCAATGCAAGACCACTTTGTTCTAATAACCTGGAATTCTGTGATGCTCACCTTCCCAACACAATCGCTGAAGCCAAAATGGGTGCACAGCAAATGTGGAAGAAAGTTCATGGTGCCCGGCTATCAAAAGATACAGCATCTGGAGCCTTACAGGTTTGAAAACAAACAAGCAGCCATCTAGCTGAGAAGCAACAGAGCCTACACGGAAGAAACACACCAGCCTGTGTGATCATGAGGTATTGATGGGATCAGGTATCAGGCATCAAAGGCCCAGAACAAAAAAATCACATCAATGTGAACGAGGGGGAATGTAGAGCCCAAAGCCCATCTGTAGACAATTGGACACCCCCTTACAGAAGGGTCAGAAGGAGGAGATGAGCCAGTCAGGGTGCAGTATAGCACCAATGAAACATACAACACTCCTCTAGTTCTTTAATGCTTCCTCCCCACCACTATCATGACTTCTACCTACAAATCCAGCGAGACCAGAGCATGCCCACAGGACAGATAAACTCCTCAGGACCAATAATGAGAGTATCGATACCAGAAGGGTAAGAGGAAGGTGGGGGGAGAAAGGGAAACTGATCTCAATGATTTACATATAACCCCTTCCCAGGGGGATGGACAACAGAAAAGTGGGTGAAGGGAGACAATGGTCAGTGTAAGACATGAAAAAAAAAAATTTATAAATTATCAAGGGTTCATGAGGGAGGGAGGGGAAATGAGGTACTGAGGGCTCAAGTAGAAAGAAAATGTTTTGAAAATGATGATGGCAACAAATGTACAAATGTGCTTGACACAATGTATGTATGGATTGTGGTAAGAGCTGTACAGCCCCCAATAAAATGATTTAAAAAAAAAAAGGTTTTACAATCATCACCACAATCAATTTTAGAATAGCTCCCACCCCCCATGGTTAAATAGTTTTAAAATGAGTTGTGTACCCACCATGACTTCTAGTGTTCCTCTGCCCCCTACATACATTGTTTGTTTCCCAAAACCTGGCAACAGTTCTTATCTCTATGCATCTACTCCTTCTGTGCTTCACAAACTGGAAAACCCAACAGGAACAATAAAAAACAGAAACAAATAGAGTGGTAAGGCTAAAATATCAACAGAGAGATAAATAATGAGTAAGTAAGAAAAGACCACCACGACTATTTAAAAGGCCAGGGAGGAAATTTTGTCATGGAGCAAGCAAGAAATACTTGCACCTAAAACAATTTCAGGTTGGGTCAAGAGAGGTCAACTGACCAAGTATCCAGTTCGATCTAGTATAATCACGATTACAATGATCTCTATCTGATAGTAAAGCTTTTGAGACCTAGTGCCAGTGGCTAGAGGGGATCTGCCACAGGCAGATTTAAGCCACTTTTATACCATTTCTGGGCATCAAAGAGAAACAACACAGGAAAAGACGGGAAGGGGTATGGGGGGTTAACTTTCCAATTCTACGACTTGGAGCACTGAGGCCCTGGGCTGCTAAGGAGGCCCAAAGTCTCAAGGGAGGGGCCATTTCCCCCAGTTAACTCAGGAGTTCTTCTCATCGGGCCTCCTAGCCTTTCACGGAGGAGGATGCGGTCAGAGGTGCCAGTTTGCCAGCCCTTCACAAGGAAGACAGCCTGGTTGGCTTGAATGACTCTGTATGGGGCCTGATGAAATTCTGAGGTCAACAATTTCAGGCCAGAATGGCCAGAGGATGCCTAGTTGTTGGGAATATTTTTTAACAGCATCATTGCTTAAAGACATTTTCATGCAGCATTAGAAGAGGCCCACAGCAGGTCCTCCTATAAAAAATTGAAAAGAATCAAAACAGTATACAACATTCATGAAATGGCAGCCACACAGGGCAGGTGCCAGAAGTTTTGCACACGAGACTGCACATCTGAAAAAGGAGACCTGTTTCTTAAGTTGCCTCTTGGAAACAGAAAGATCTCTTAAAGAGTGAAGGTTTCTTCACTAATAAAGGGAGTCCAAATACCAAGGCAGCGATTTTTCTGACTTGAGACAATACTATAATCTTTTAAAAGTCTGACATGAAAAAGTACTTAGAAACTTACACTACTTACATAAGAGGAATAAATTTAGCTCTTGCCAAGAGACTTCCAATATAATTTCCAGCAGCTTGCCTGATGATGGCAGGGTTATTTGGGTCCTGCAGTTTCTTCCAAAGGTGTTCCAAAAACGCTTCTGCAAAGCCCTAAAAAAGAAGGTTTTGATTTCATCTTTAATACCCAAGATGTTCTGGTCACTAAAATCCTAAGAATTTTGCTCACCAAGGTGGGAAAGTTAAGAAATGAGTTACCCTCCTGAACGAAGAATACAACAGCCCGAGAAAAGCACAATGCCTGCAACCGAACCCAGACTGGCTGAGTACTAAAATCCATAAGGGTACAGATCCAGCAGTTTGTGACAGGACTTCGGAGCCTATTTTAAAAATTCTGCACGTTATTCTGGTGTTGTCAGAATCAGAAACTGGCAATAATCTACACTGTCAAGGAATTCCTTCTACAGCACAGCAGAGCTCAAACTAACCTTCCAGTGTTTGACTACATTTATTTCTACCCAGAAATGGAAGGGTAGATTCAGCTATGCTCCGTATTCAACTAATTACTGTATGCTATTCATGGGAAGAACAAGTTGATGAAGCCTCCCTGCAAGGAGAGCTGGATGACAGCTGGAACCCACCAGATGCTCTGAGAGAGAAAAAGCAGCAGACTGCTTCTACAAGTATTTACAGCCTCAGAAACCTACAGAGAAGCTCTACTCTGTCCAAAAGGCTGCTAAGGGTTGGGTTTTAAGAAGAGGTGCCAAGTCCTCTTTCTCCTATAAATAGCCCTTTTCAAAAAACCATTAACACACACTTATGAGTAGAATACATTTTCCCATCAATACTCCCCTGACCGTTCAAAGAAGCTACAGAAGAGAACTTTCCATGAATTTCTACCCACCCCCCACCTCTCCCACCCCCCAAGCAAGCAAAACCCCCCCAAAGGTTGACAAATCTGGATTAAAAAATTGCTTTGGGTTATTTAGGATTCGACCCTGAAAACACAATAAAGAAAATAAACAGTTAAGTAGTCCACATTCGAGTCCCTCCCCAAACCTTGCAGTTTTATTTAAGCCATAGAATAAGCAAATGTGTGCTGTTGAGGACCGCTTCTCTTCCCTGCAGAGGGATAATTAGGCTTGTATCAACATCTTTCCAACGTTGGGAAAATATTCCTCTTTCTTTTGCTGTGTAGTAGGGCAATATGCATGCCTAAGGCTGACCTTAGACAGTCCTACATGGAAAAGCTTCTGTGTCCTTGGGATGTCTGCTCTGTCCAGAGGAAGTTCTCCAGGGATCCCTGAGTTAGGCCAGGCGGCAGACACCTGGCAGGGTGGACTCTGGCCCCTTTCCTCCTCCACTATCTAGAGGTCCTGCTGAGGAAGGCAGGGAGGGGTCATCAAGGGGTCTCCTTGTGAGGCCCACTTCTAGGGGATTGTCCTCCGCCCCCTAAAAGGGGCCAAGGCTCAGGCCCCATGGCAGTGGACTTCCCTCAGGTCAGGTCTGCAAGCAGTCCATCTTCCCTCAGCCTTGTCTCCTTTCTCTAGGGTCTGTCTGCTCCCTTGAGTAGCCGCCCACTCCCTGAGCCTTGGATTGATGCAGAAGGACCTGGAGATCAGCCTTCTGGAGGCTGAGCGCCCTCCTGGAGTTTTCTTATCCCCGCGAGGCCCAAAACTCGGGCTGGTGACCGTCCTGGTCACAGGCTCAATGCAATGTCATTCCGAAGGCCAGTGGCCAGGCTGGGACCCAGACAGTTGAGATCCCATATGGGAGCCTCGTAATGGAATGCAAGCGTTGGAAAATTTGGCCATAATAAAAGGTTTTTGAATGAGCAAAGACCAAAACTTAATTCAAAATCAAATGTGTAACGAGTGCCAGGTGATTCTGGTGGCACTTGTCCGTGGTACAGATTTCTCAGGTGAAAAGGGGCCATGACCGGTAAAGGTAAAAAGTCCTTTTCTCTCGGGGGTTTCAATGGAGAGAAAATGTTTTGAGAAATGATGTATAAATACGTTTTACACAATTGATGTGTGTATGGATTGGGATAACAGTTGTATGAGCCCCTAATAAAATGTTTAAAAAAAAAAAAAAAGTCCTTTTCTCTCCTGCAGACTTGACTTTCCTTAAGTCCCACCACTCAGCTTTGCCTGGAAAACTTCTTATGAAGAGAGACTTCAGTACTTCCACACTAATCGCTTACTATATTTTCATACCACTCAAGTCTAATCATGTGAGCTCATTTCTTTGGTTTGGGGAATCTTGTATTCAGTGTCATGTGCTCTCTCCATGGGATGAAAAGGCCATTTAATTAGGGGAACAAAATGAAGCACTCAAGAAACAATAAAGAGCCTCAGAAACACTCACGGAAAGAATTCAAGGCTCTGCCCCTCCATGGACCCCTGCGAATTCCCAAGGGACAACACGATGGTGGGCAAGAAGAAAACCAAGCTGAGTTTAATGACATCCTTACCAACTTGAAGCTGCACAGGTAAAACATGAAAAACTGTACGTGGCAGGAGGCGTGGGTAGGCAACAGGAGTTTGTCAAAGATGGTTATCAGATCTCGATATAACTCCTTGGTTTTGTTGTTATCCACCTTACCTGTGGGGAAAAGATGGCATTTCAGTTTCAAAAATACAATTCACATGTTAGCATTATTGTTCCATTTGCCAGATTTGTTTAAAAGAACGTTTTGACTAAAAAACACAAGAGTAGCCATTCAACAATTTTTAAAGTACCAGTTTCAAGTTAATAATAAGAAGCTACAAACAGCCGAAATGCCTACCAGCAGATGGATGGAGAAACCGTAGGATGTACACACAATGGAATACTATGCATCCCTAAAAAAGTGGTGGAAACATGAAACATTGCATGACATGGATACATCTAGAAACATTATGTGGAGTGAAATCAGCCAATCAGGGTGAAAGGGCCAATATGGTATGAGTCCACTACTCTAAGGATAAACACCATGACGAAGGCCGGCTTCTGTTCTCAAGTTGTGCCATCGAATGTGGCCCCCCAAGCAGTGAAACTAGATAGTGAGCCTGAACCATTTGTCACCCCCTTATTTGTACATCTTAAAAAAATTTTTTTGCTGTTAATTTTTTCCCCACTGAAACCATTTTACTGGCAGTTAATACAGATATCGTGCCATCCCACCATTCAATCACATCAAGCAGTATTATACAATTATTACCTCAATCAGTTTCAACATTCTCTTTCTTCTCGAACTCCTTGACATCAGCTCCCTTTTGCTCACCTGCCCCCACCCCGAGAACCCTTATTCTGCTTACTGTCTCCATAGGTTCATCTATTTACACATATTAAAGAAACCATTTCAAAAGAGGGGCTACCCTTCAACTGTGGTCAGTTTCTCAAGACGGGGGAAGAGGGAGACCAATCAGTCCTTGCCATATAGCATTGTTCTATGGACACTCCAAATCAATAGATAGTCGTCCAAGGCAAAGATACGAGAGTTTAAGTTTAGTGTGACCCCAAGTCTATTAAGTTAAATTTGATATCAATATTCATTGTTTTTTTAAACAAGAAAAATAGTAACTGATAATAAGTCAACTCGTATATTCAAGTAGTATTAATCGAAGAGATCGGCTTTGTCCTTTAATCTTCCCAATCAACGTGAACAGTGAAAACATTGTTTTCTTCATGTAAAGTCACTAACCTGAAAGTCCCCAAGGACAAGAAGCATACCAGTTTGCTCAGGAGTACACTCACACTGAGAAGACTATCTGAACTTAATGGAGACCACCAAGCACTTTTGATCAATACCTACTGCGTCGACTTTATAATGCCTTAAACAATGAGTGTATTTTGATCCCTGCCCCAAACTGAGCAAACTCCATACATCATCTTTTGATATAATATCCAGAGAACAGATCAGGGGTTTTGAAAAAATGGATGGCAGCAATTCTGAATCCCAGTGCCACACCATTTTAGCAGTGGTTCTCAACCTGTGGGTCGTGACCCCTTTGGGGGAGTCAAGCGACCCTTTCACAGAGGGTTCTCCTGATTCATAACAGTAGCAAAATGAAAGTGATGAAGTAGCAACGAAAATAATTTGATGGTTGGGGGTCACCACCACGAGGAACTGAATGAAAGGGCCGCGGCATCAGGAAAGTTGAGAACTGCTGCTTTTAAGTTATGTCACAGCGAGTAGCAACTTGACCTTAGAAGTTCCTTTTCCTCACACTCAAAACCCTGACTTTGATCTGCATTAGGAATTATGTGAAACCAGCTATGTCACTGTTACAGGCAGTTACCATCTACGTAGCAGACATCCCTAATGTAGGACAAAAGTAAAGACAGCAGAACGTCCAGACGCTCAGCGACAGGATGCACCATGTGGTCAAGCGGGGCAGGAGCAGCCCTCGTGTCCACTTTCGTCTCTTCATCTTCATCCTTTGAAATAAAGAAGAAATGGACATAACCATGAAATACTGATTCCTTTCCCGACAGAAGTCGTCTGCCAGAAGTGTGAAACTTCATTCTAGGGTCCGGTGGCAGTGATACTAAGGACAAGAGCAGACATGGCCGGCCCATTGGAGTTATCTGCACCAACCAGAAAGATGCGTGGGATTCATCATGTCTACAAAATTATAGATGCCCCCCCAATATATCTACTCTGGAATTTCCTTTGTGCTCTTTCTCTTGCTTCGATCCCTGCTTGCTACCTGAAACTCTCTGACATCTTCCCCGCTCTTTCCGCTGTCCCTTTCTCTGTCGGCACCTGCTGCAGCCGTGACATCAGAGCCTTTAACCCGCTCTCTCTTTTTAAATACACTTGTGTTTAACTCTTTCCTCACAGACTGTTGTAGTTTGTTAGAGGGTCTGTATTAAACCTAAGTTTCTCTTCCTTTAAGTAATAGCGGCTCTCATGGTCTCTATACCTTTGAGGTTCTTTATCTGGCTTTAGACAAAGGGCCAGCTCTACCCTTTCTTTATCTGGCTATCCTAAACTCCTTTCACTTCATTTCCTGTTCCCTACAAACCTCCCCTCCCTCAACAAATCTATTAAAGGTCTAGCTCTGTCTTTTGTCTCTGAAAGACCTTGCAATAACCACTTGCAGAGTTTTAAAGCAAAAGCACCCTCGTGCTTACTCAGAAGACCCAGGAGAGCGTGGTTGTGCAAACACGACAGATCTCCCAGGTCATTCTAGCAGACACTCTTGGTACCAGGTCCCCTGCTTTCCTGGCCAGGAAATGCCCGTCCCAATGCTCAATTGCTCGTTTGCTGCCAAGAGCTCACGCACCCCTTCTTGACAAAGAACTGCCCTCAACAGAACCACCCTATACTTCCTCCCATGCCACCACCCCTCAGAGCCAATGACTGACTGATCAGGCACCTGAAGACAGACTTTCACTGACCCCAAACTCACATCAACGTACATTCATACTCTATGCTTGGAGGGATCCAGCTGTGCTAAAGAGCTCTCCCAACTTTTTATTGTAAACTGGGTACCAATTTACAGAGCCAATGAGCTTCCCCTTCAATAACTCATACACGTTGTTTCATCCCACTGATCACAATATCCACAATGTATCTCCATCTGCTTCCTCCTTATATTTCTCATTTCTAATCCTTCTTTCCCAACCCCTCCAGCCTTCTGAACTTTGCCTTTGGGTAAGTTCTGTCATTTTCATATCAAATGGTTGGTTATTCTAAGGAATGCCATTGTTCCCCTTGCAGACCTGTGTGGCTGATAACTGAGCTGTAGGGGGTTGAGTTCATTTCCAGAGCTGCAGGATGACAAAGGGACAGAGTCTCAGGGGTTCCACCAGTCCCTCACCAGAGTACCCCTGGCCTTGATGATTCTGAGTTGTTGCACATTTCCACACTCTGTCTAGGACCTTTCAGAGCAGTAGGGCAACACCTAGTTCTTCTGACCTCTGGGTCGTGGAGGCGAGGGTTCGCGTGGTCCACTATTCCTCTGGACTAAGTGTTTCCTTTCCTTTCTGGTGTCTTCCACCATTCTTTGCTCCAGATGGGGAGAGATCAAGAGCTGCATTTTAGATGGCCACCTACAAGTTTTCATAACCATACTGTGGCTACTTAACAAATGAAAACCAACCTTTCACTTAACAACTCCTCCTGCTTGTTCAAACTGTCTGTCCCAAGAATGTGTAACCCTGTCTCATGGTCTCTTCCAGTGACCTCCACGTAAGAGACAAGCTCAAAGACACACAGCTTGTAAAGCACAGGCGTGAAATGGGTATGCATTTCTATTCATCATTCCTTCACACACACACTTTAAAAAACAAAACGAGAAACTGTGGTGACAAGAAAACTTTTTTTTTCTCCTTTCAAATGAACCATCTCAAACTCAATTTTGCATGTTAAGAAATCACTTTCAGGGTAACGGGAAGGCAAAATATCTACGACAGATCAGCAAAAAGGATGGGAGCAAGGAACAGAGAGTGAATACACAATCCTGTAGTGGCGATAATCAATGACTGGACATGCGGGCAGACATATGGCCTGGATGGGTCTTGGAGGGTGAGAGCGGGAGCGTGCGCACACACACAGACGTGTGCATTTGATAAAGACCACAATTATATCCATGAAGGTGGCAGAACATGGTGGGAGCAATTACGAAAATTTCTCAGACACAGCTAAAGCGGTGAGGGGATGAGTTGTTGTACCCAGGGGTTCAGACCCCTGGTCTTCAGAATCCATCAAAGTCAAATAATATAACATCTTCTCCAATGGACCACACAAACACCTGCCTACCATTTGCGATGAAACAGCAGCATTCACCCAGAGACAAAGTTGAGAGCGTTTAGGAAAGGAGGAGGCATGGAGGTGGACAGTGAGGCTGCACTGCAGGGATTATGAGTTACTGACTAGCAGCCTAATTTGCTCTATAAACTTTCACCCAATTTATAGTAAACAGTTTAAAAAGGGAGAACAAGAGTGCATTTTAAAATTTCAATGATTTCTGAGCTATGTTAATTAACTTGAGAAAAATGAGAAATTATTAGCTATCTCTTCCCACCTTCTGAAAATGTGTTCTATGCATACTGATTGTATTAACAGAAATTCTGACCATATTAAACAGTCCTTCTGTGGCATCTGTCCCGTCATTAGCTTGAGCTTCTTCCTCAGCATCCTCAATATCTTGGCGGGATGCATTTACCTACATCACAACAAAGGAAGGAGAACAATGAAGAATTATGGTGTTTAAACATACCTGCTATTCTGGGGCTGGAAACTCAGCTGATTTTAGCACCGTGCAACACAGCACTGAAAACTTTCAAAGGGTTCCAAATCACTCTAATTAGTGTTATAAGGTAAACTTGATCTGGCCATCAAAGAATTTACAAGGCAAAAAAAAAAAAAAAGAATATACAAGGTAACACAGTAAGTCCCCTCAAATGCAAGTCAAATCTGAATTTTCAAATATTTATTTTGGTATCACCGTCAAATGTCTTGTTTACATAGTGCTCAAATCATATTACCTTTTAACTTCTCAACACATAACCTCCTTTCTAAACATACTTTACAAAGTCCTTTGAAGCTTTCGAGGCTGTAAATCTTTACAGGAGCAGAAAGCAGTTGGCTAGGGAGTTCTAACTCCTACTTAAGTCCTAGTTAAACACTGGAGTTAGTTTTACTAACTAACTCCTAGTTAATACCATGTCAGTGTTTAACTCTTGCCAACAGCATCATTTTTTTTTTCCTTATGTAACGATGTCTCACCTCCCCAATTCTAAAATAAGCTTTTTCTAACCCCCTGCTCCAACCCTTCCTTTCTTTCCTTTCACCACCAGCCCCCCACCCCGGGCTAAGACCTCTAAGTGCTGCATTTCCTAACCAGACACGCTCTCCTGCAGCAGAGCTGACACTCTTTACTGACACTGCCTTTTGGAGGACAACCAAGATCATTTCCTAATAACTAAGTTCAAAGGCCTTTACGTTTCCCATCCTTCTTCATGATATTAAAGGAGTATGGGAAATGGAATGTCAAATGCTCTTTTTCCTTGCAAATTCTCCAGTTTATATACTCCTGGATTCTCACTTCTAGTCCTCCTCCTTCTTCTCCCTTATCCTAATCCTAAATTGTATCATTTCATAGGTTTATTTCCAGACCCTGATCTGCAGTTACAGCTACTTAGTGAATACATCCCCTCTAGCCCCAATGACACCCCCATTTGTCTGTCAGTTTGTCGTACTGTGGTGGCTGCGATGCTGGAAGCTATGTCATTGGTATTTCAAATGCCAGCAGGGTCACTCAAAGTGAACAGGTTTCAGCAGAACTTCCAGACTAAGAAGAGACTACGAAGGAGGAACTGGCTGTCCGCTTCAGGGGAATCAGCCACTGAAAACCCTATGGATAGCACTGAAACGTTGTCAATTTCTGAGATCACTGTCAGAGAGGGTGCCGGAAGAGGAGCCCTCAAGTTGGAGGGCGCTCTCAAATGTCTTGAGGACAAGCTGCCTTCTCCGAGTTGAGTCGACCACAATGCTGTGGATAAAGCCTTTGAGACCTTCATTTGTGGATGCGGCAAGACCCAACTAAGGAACAGCTGTAAATATCATTGATAGTTGGAACTCAAAGCATGAAGTATAATCCTAGGAAAATATCCAACAGAACAGAACACTGCCCGGCCCGGCACCATCCTCACAACTGTTCCTGTGTTTGAGCCATTGTGGCAGCCAGTGTGTCTGCCCATCTTGTCCAGGGTCTTCCTCTTCTCACCGCCTCCATACTTAACCAGCATGACATCCTTCTCCAGGAACTGGTCTCTCCTGACAAGGTGTTCGAAGGATGTCAGATGAAGGCTCGCCATCCTTGCCTCTAAGGAGCACTCTCCCCGTACTTCTGCCAAGACAGATCAGTCTGTCCTGTTAGCAGTACATGCTGCTTTCAATATTCGTCCCCAGCACAATTCAAATGTACTGATTCTTCTTTGGTCTTTTTTATTCAATGTCCAACTTTCACATGCATATGAGGCAATTGAAATTACCACAGCTAAGGCAGGCACACCTTAGTCCTCAAAGCAACATTCTTGCTTTTCAATACTCTAAGGAGGTCTTGTGCTGCAGACTTAACCTAATGCAATGGTCTTTTGATCTCGTCTGCTGTTTCCATGAGCATTGATTGTAGATCCAAGCAAGACAAAATCCTTGACAAGTTCAATCCTTATTGATCATGATATCATGATGTTACCTATTGGCCCAGTTATGAAGCTTTTGGCCTTCTTTACATTGAATTTTAATCCATACTGAAGATTGTAATCCTAATCGTCATCAGCAGGGGCTTCAATTCCTCCTCACTTTCAGCAAGCAAAGTTGTGTCATGCATATCTCAGGTTGTTAATAAGCCTTCCTCTAATCCTGATACTGAATTCTTCTTTATATAAGCTGGCTTCTCTTGATTGTTTAGCATACAGACTGAATTATCTGGTGAAAGGATATAACCCTGCCAGACACCGGATTTTAAACCAGGCAGTATTCCCTTGCCCCATTTATCCAACTGCCTCTTGATCCATGTCTAAGTTCTGCAAAAGCACAAGGAAGGGTTCTGGAATTCCCACTCTTCTCAGGGTTAGCCAGTTTGTTACGATCCACACAGTCAAATGCCTTGGCAGAGTCAATAAAACACAAGTAAACATCTTTCTGGTATTCTCTACTTTCAGCCAAGATCCATCTGAAATCAGCAACAGCCCTTGTTCCACGCCCTCTTGTAAATCTGGCCTATCAATGTAACTACCACAACCGTTGTTGGATGATCTTCAGTAAAAGTGTACTGGCACGTGACGTCAGTGATATGATTGCATGATGTGAGTATGCTATTGGGCCATCTTTCTTTGGAATGGGCACAAATCTGGATCTCTTCAAGTCAGTTGGCCACGAAGCTGTTTTCCAAATTTCCTGGCACAGATGAGTGCTGGCAGCGCTTCAAGAGCTTTTTGAGACATTTCAATGGTATTCATTCCATCAATGCCCGGAGCCTCATTTGTGGCTAATGTTTTCAGTGCAGCTTGAACTTCTTCCTTCAGCACCACTGGTTCTTGCTCTGGTAAAGTAGGGGCAACGAAAAAGAGGAAGGCCCTCGAAGTGGCTGCAGCAATAGGCTCAAACACAAGAACAATGTGAAGACGTTACAGGAGCAGGGCACTGCTTCATTCTGTTGTACACAGCACCGGTCTGAGTAGGAATCAACTTGATGGTACGTAAGGACAGCCCCCTGCCCCCCAGCCCAGCAAGTCAACTTGTCCAGAAAGAAAAGCTCTACCTCTTGACTTTTCTTACTATTGCTAAGAACACCATGATTCCAATGCCATCTTTAGAGGTTTCTTTCTCTTATGTCCTAATTTCTCACTTAAATCTCTCGCTCAAGGGCCATTTCCCCATTCCTCTCATGCTGCTAAAACCACCAGTTCATTTTCATTCCCACGGTGCTGTATTCCAAACCTTGAGGGCTGGGGGCACATTTACTGGATAATGTCTTTAT